AAAGGTTAGATTTACAACTTCCGAGAACCAACGACAACAGGTATGCTGGTAACAAGCCAAGGTGAACCTGGGATTCGAACTCATTATTAGCACATCCTTTCGCAGACTCAACTCTTCAACGCCTTAAACCAGAGAGACGCTCGTGCACTTCGATTTCAGTGATAAACAGGTATTCTTTTGATATTGATGCAAACATAATGTAAAGCAATATCAAAACATATGCTATGCAACTCTTCATACGATCACCTCTTTCAGCTTAAGACCACAGGAGGTAGTCTGACTGGAACCCTCTTAACGTTGCACATCAACCATTGCTCTAGCAAATGTGTTTGAGAAAAACATTCATTATCAGCGATGAATATGTACTCTCTATTCCGTCGGGTAGTCCTCTCTTTAACTCGCCCCTTTGGGAATGACAGCGGTGGGCATTACCCCTCTTTCTCACTCTTAACTGAGGATGTTATCCTAAATACATGACGTAATGTAGGCTTGTATTGAAATTATGTGCGTGGCAGTTCAAAACATAAACTGGAATCACTGACGGAAAACAAGGCAGTGTTCGGCGAGTAAAGTGAACACTACGTGTTGGGTCGATCTCCACATTCAGCTGATGTCGGCTCTTATGGCTTGTTCAGCATCAGCACTTTGTCACTGTGTTGTAAGCAGCTAACGTTCAGCTCCTTTAAGAAGAAATCACATTTGTGCAGTAAGGGTCTGGGCCCATAGATCATGGTTTCATTTGGACAAAATGTTGAAAATGGTGATGTCCGTGTCAATATATTTAAGTAATTAGTTTGGTTGTATCGGATCCGTCTGGGGCTTGTATTTCAGGCATCTTTGTCTGTCTGATCGGCAGCCCCTACACACAGACGAGGGGGTTGATTGCTGGCTGTAACGGTACATGACACGGCTATTAAGAGTAACACTGCGAAGAAAATAAATTGAAACTATTTTACTTTCTCTCCTCTGTGTTTGTGTCGGTGCCAGCGGTGGGGCAGGATACGCTCACCTTTTCGCGAAGACCTGGTATCATTACAATTTGATAGTTATTCTTAAAAACATGCTTATGATATAGTCGGAATCAGACAATGAATCTTGCGATTATGGAAAGGACTTTGTCGCTGTTATTTACAAAGAAATGTCTGTATGGTGGTATATAGAGGTATAAATCTGCAGGATATTAGAAATTTCCCCGATAAAGAGTTGATCTTTTGAAAGAATAACAACACTATGTTTTGAGGGAAAAGATGAGATCTTCATTTGGTGCTGAGAGTGAGTGAGTGATTTGGGTGTAAACGCCGCTTTGAACAGTATTCCATTTTTTTTATAACGGCGTACACGCTTAATGGTGGAGGGAAGCCCGAAGTGATGCAGGTCTAAGACATGTACTATTTTGGTGAAACCAACGATCATGGGTATGGTGCTTACAAACCTAGAAACATAATCAGGTGGAACCGGGATTCGACCCCACGACCATAAGTGTCTGGCTCGTCCAAGAGGCGCAAATCGACACAGCGAATTGCGGCGCCTTAGACGAGTTGGCCACCCGTGTCCCCCTTGTTGTTTAGAGGACTACATCATTTATGAATTTCAGAATATATAATTATGTTGTACACATCATTAAAGTGATTTGTGAACGTAAATTTCCCATTGATTACGTCATATACGACAAATAAAAGTCTTGGTCAGTTTTTATTCATATCATTGAAATAAACGACGATTAAAATAATCACTGTGACCTGCCTCGCTTTGGGCTTTCTTCCAACATGAAGCGGACGCGCCGAAATATCACTATTAAAAAAAAGGCGTTAAGCCAAACTCCCACCCCCACTCCCACTTATAGGTAAACCGCGCCGGATAAAGACAGACTGTTCGTTTGTGCACAGCAGACAGTCCTACATCCCGCTGTGTTAACTTAGTTCAAACTTGTCTCTATGTGAACTATTTTTACCCATCGTTAAGCAATCTACTACATCATAGTCAAGCACAGAACGTTCTTTAAGTGACTAACAGTACTCATTGGACATTGTGTCGATCAGAGTAATTGAAGAATACGGTTGCGCCTCTGAATAGCAAGTCTTCCAAATATTTTCTTCTTCTGAACTTGGTAGTTAGGCTGGGGCATGAACCCCTCTTTCGTCCCACACATCTTGTGATGAAGATTACACACATTAACCTTCTGACGATGGCTTGGCGGCGGTTGGCACATTAACGACACGGGCTTCATAAACTGGGGCTTATTATAGTGGCTGCGATTCGTAAATATCTCCCGAAATGATTGCAGTGCGTTTGTGAGGAGGGAAATCGGTTCAGGATTGAAAAGATGTTTATTACAAAACTTTCCCTTGAGGATTTGATTGTGTAATGTCACGGAATAAGACAAATCGTCGTCACGACTGAAGTAGCGTCTGTGCGCACAATGTAACGGGCGTCAGCTGAACTGATTAGTGGCCTGACAACCGTTCCATTTAACATTTGCTTTCAACTGTACACTAAAAACAGAGAGTGTTTTCCAGATTTAGGGTTACGCTTCATTACAGCTCAATTTACACAAATATACCTAATTCTTTCTGAATTACTTTCCTAACTACAATTATTAAAATTCATTATATGACAAAACATTACATATTCATTTTATATTATTTTTGCATTTTTACATATTTAGTTTGTTGATTAAGATATTTTATATTTTGCTACACATTTGTTAAAGTATAAATGATCATGTGAATTAGGGCGGTCGGATAGCCTAGTGGTTAAAACGTTCGCTCGTCACGCCGAAAACTCGGGTTCTCATCCCGACAAGGGTACAATGTGTGAAGCCCATTTCTGGTGTCCCCCTCCGTGATATTGCTGGAATATTGCTTAAAGCGGCGTAAAACCATACTCACTCACTCATGTGAATTACTAAAGTCGTAAGTTAAAAACTAGTGCCATTGTATATAATTTTCTTTTTTGCAAATGTGGAGGGAAATGTAAAGTGACACTGGTGATTATCTCGTTGGCATCGTCGTTGGAATGAAAGGATGCCTCGTTTTAGAATGTAAAAAAACCAAGGTATCATTTGCATAACAGCATTATGAAATAATGTCACTTAGCTCTCACGTTAGCTGCTTTTATCTCACTGGTTATATGATTTTTGTTTCAAATATCACCATGAAGTATCCCCTAGAGGAAAAAAATATGATAATTTCTTTTCTTCAAGGAAAAACAGGTTATTCCTTCGTTAAACTTTCTGAGCCGATGTCGTTTACATTAAAATATTGTCCTTCTTTCACATTTTTTCAATTTCTTTTGAAGAAAAAAGACTGCAGTCGACCAAGAATGATATTAGTCTTGTCACGAACTCGATCCAAGGCATTTTCTTTGAAAATTGAAATTGCTTTTCCCATACCTTTCACTTGTCCAATTTAAACTGTTTAATGCCGCGCTCGGAACAAAATCCTTGCTGTCAATTGGATTAAAACGACAGATTGTTTAGGTATTAGAGGGCTTTTGCAAACAGCATTTGCAAGTTTCCAATTACAAACATATACCTTGGAAAATGACAGTCTTATAATATGTCAATTGACCTTTGTGGTGATCCACTTAACTTTCTATTTAATTACACTTGGAGAAGATCAGAGAATTGTACTCCTACACCAGCGTCCACCAGGCTGTCCTGAGAGGGTTCTATTGGACTAGAGTGTGGGAGCTTGCCAGAATCTTATTGAAGAAGGCCTTCCTATAACGCGTTCAGTCCTCCATTGACTTTAGTGGGGAAATGACATTGACATGAAACTCTCGACTGGTATTTACTATGCCCTAGCGAAACTAGGAGGGCACTTAATATTAGCCAAAAGATCGAAACGGGGAATAAAATGCTTAAAAATGGAAATTAAGATGTTAAGGAGAATAAGAAAAACATCCTGCGATTTCCCATTAGTTGAGAGACTATATTGTCATCCTTGTGTTCCAAGTTCCCGCACTTCATTTCTTTTCCGGCATTCTATAGAGGATTCCGATTTGAAAGCCTTCGGCGAGCATAAGTGAAGCTTTTAGGGCATAATTACTTCAACATTATTAGTTTCTTGCTCAAATGGTCCAGGACACGTTTAGCAAACATTGGCAATGCGAGTTTAAACTTCGTAGATGCGTTTTCCCCATTTAAACATATCCTTTTGAGCATTTAGTAATGTCATTTCGGTACAGTAATATTACAACAAAGGTCATTGCTCTTCGAGGTATGGTTATCTTTATTCAGCCACATCCTATCGCCAATTACATCAACTTGACCGTTCCTCAAGGAACGTGTCCTTTGTTCAGGTAAATTGATGCCCTGATGCCTCATATCCCTGTATCGAACCAATGAGATATGTACCACGCATTTAACACCATTTATGATTAGTATGCAGAACACATAGAGCAATTTGTTTCATGGTATATAATAATACATGTAAACTAAGGTATACAAAAATAATTCATTATGGACGCCGGGGGTAACCTAACCATTATATTGATATTGAGATTCGTTTACACCTATGTATTTTCGGTTTCCTTGTAACAGGTGCCTTGTCGGTTGCCATACAGCTACCACCTGGTGCCCTTTGAAGTTCTTGTGTTTTGCCATTTTGCCTTTTACGCGTAATGGAATCTTTTTCGACAGATATTCGAGACTCATTGTTATCTGGCTTTGATGTTTTATATTTCTACTTTTGTAGTTTACATTTCTGCGGGGCTTGAAATTTGTCAGATATATAGATTACAAAAGTTAAATATGCATTGGGTTTCACATTTTCGTCACATTTATCCATATATTAATAAGGCAATTTACAGCAAAAACGTCTTTAATTATTCTAAAAGCATTATTAGAAGGAACAAGTTGTTTTTCAACTTCACCCAAATATGCAGCTGTTATGCTTTCAAAGGAATCTTCCCATTACTAAAGCATTCTGACGGGCAAAACCTACAACCTTTACCGTTAGTTGAACTGTGTTAGTTCACCCTTTCTCGTTTTGTTTCAGGCAATGGAAAAAGGTCGGACCCAAGCATCGCCCAGACAATAGATACCCAGAAACAGAGCAACTTGTTAAGGCAGCTTCTTTTACGTGAACGGTTTCCTCCCTCCGTTGGATTAGATATGAACGAAGAACAGGATCGAGATGAGTCCGACTTAAACAGTTTTCAGGATGACTTACCACAGAGACCCTCCGCGGAGAGACAGAGCGATATTGATAGACTTAACATCATGTTGAGGACTTTGGTAGGTGTTTGATAGTCTGAACCTGGTTCACACATGTATACATGTATTGGTGTCACAGGTTGTGGTTTGTACTCCGACGTTTGGATGGAATACCTATATAGGTGATTCTATGAGGTTTGTAGGTGTTGTATACATGTAGATGAAGTCGGACTCGTAAAGAGACGACCCAACTATTGATTATTTATCTCCTTGTTTTAGGTTGAACAATATTTCCTTTTGGTTTCGTCTACTTTTTTGCACCGTGTCAGTTCTATTTTTGTGATATAGTGAGTGAATATTGCTTTGAGCCGCAGTCAGCAATACGCAAGTAATAGCATGGCGACCTGTGAGTAACCGGGTCTGGAATTGATATACCAGTGGTTGATAGCATGAACAACGACCCTCACCGCCGTGGCACGATGGTACATGGTATTTTTTTATTCAAGGTATCCGGTCCATTACGTGCCGTACACATATACCGGATAAATATCATGCATGCAATGCCCCATTAGTATTTGCAACATCAAGCTTATTTTCACAAAAAAAAGTTATTAAATCGAAGGATTTTTGAAACTTTATATAGAAATAGGCACAGAAAGAGTTATGCAGTTAGTGGACATAAGAGATATAAACTCCTCAACTTCAGAGTTTACATAGACATTGTTTTTTATTTTGTGTATTTATCATACACCATTAACACGTTATTTTCCTCTATAAGGTTCAAATTTTTGGCAGGACGGGCATTAAATAGTCTACTATTGGAGCCCGGAATCCCAAAGAGGGCCCCACCTTCTGGACCCCGTTCTATTTTTTCAATTTAAACGTGCTGGTTATGACGAACCGTTTTCAGGCAAATTGATACGGGGATCGGGAAAACACTACACGACATAATTATCATGCATTATATTAAACCTTAAAAAATATTGATTTGTTATATCAGGAGGAGCGTACCGTTGATCATTTGTACTAAAGTGTTCCGATTATAAGCCTTGGTTAACAGTACCGTTGGGTTTTCAAGTTGTAAAGGTCTAAGACGAAACACCTGGTATTATGAGTTTCGGGGTTCCATGCATCTAATTTTGACCACGAGTTTGCCTTTTACGCTCAATGACTCTGTTTCGGCAGGTTGTAGAGACTAATTATTCTCTGACTTTGACGTTATATATTCCTCTCCAATTATGCTGACACGCCATGATATAAGTGAAATACTGCTCGTTGGAGTGTGAAGTAATGACGTGTAAATTAGTCAAGATGGTGACAATGTCTTCATGGCGTGGGTTGACCCGTTGACTTGCTCCTTGAGGTATAATATCGGTCGTGTGACACATTTTATCTGGTGTCGACTCATTTGGGTGTCGTTGAGGCTGAGTAGGTAGTTAATGTCCCCGAATGGACCGTCTCCTAATGTTTACAAACATGTTAATAAGTCTAATGTTGACAGTCAGAGTCATGTATGGTTTTATATTATGTGACGTGAACACAGCTCGAGGAACAACAGGAGTTATTTCGTGACCAACATTCTGTTGGTGTTAACGGATGTTAGATTACCTAATTATAGCCGGTCTTCGAGAAAACAGATGAAATCTTTTCGCAAAGAGGCTATTGTTGAATGAGTGTTAATTTGATTCAATCGATTGTGGCTGAAAATTGTCAAAACCTGCACTTGTAATAGCATTCCAATCGGTGGTGTTTGCATCTGTCGAGTTCAGTGTTTACAGTATGCACTTGCGTGCTTCCATGGCAAACACAAGAACATATTGCTGTTCATTATGAAGGATTGTGTTCCAGAAGGGTTTGTTTTAGCAGAATACACTCTGGGCTACAGTAGAACCCCTTTAACAGCGGCATGGCGTGTGTATTATTATTATCATTATTATTATTATTATAACATTTTTAAAAAAATTATAACATTCGGATGTCTGAATTTGAACTCATTAACACCCGTACCTCTGTACCATTCCGACGAAACATTCTATCCATATGGTACTTAGCTTAATTCTGCTTTAAACAAATGTATGACAGACAGTGTTATTTGGTACTGACATCACCTCTCTGCAATGAAAACGCATCCAAGTATGTCATCATCACAAACGAATATATGTATTTGCAATAAAAGAGACAAAACTATGTCCACATTAAATACGAACTTAAATGCTGATTCAGACAGGATCACGAGCATGTGATTGTGAACCACTATCAAAATAGTGACGATACCAGGTGTTTGCGAAAAGGTGAGGGTATCCTGCCCGACCGGACGCACCGGTCACTAACACATGCAAAGGCAAGTCAATAGTTCACCCGAAAAATCATAATGGTATACGTCAAAATAGAGAATTGCATCGGACATAATTTTTGTCACTGATGCGTCAAACTTGGAAATGTACTCCACATGTCTACCTAAAACCTTTACCTACCAAGAGTCGTATGACGTTCGTTGACCTCTTGGTAAAAAGAGCATGCGCGATACGGTACCATGTGAGGCCAGTCATGTTACCAACACGGTACCCTGTGACCCCAGTCATGTTACCAATACGGTACCCTGTGACCCCAGTCACGTTACCAACACGGTACCCTGTGACCCCAGTCATGTTACCAATACGGTACCCTGTGACCCCAGTCACGTTACCAACACGGTACCCTGTGACCCCAGTCATGTTACCAACACGGTACCCTGTGACCCCAGTCATGTTACCAACACGGTACCCTGTGACCCCAGTCATGTTACCAACACGGTACCTTGTGACCCCAGTCATGTTACCAATACAGTACCCTGTGACCCCAATCATGTTACCAATACAGTACCCTGTGACCCCAGTCATGTTATTAACACGGTACCTTGTGACTCCAGTCATGTTACCAATACAGTACCCTGTGACCCCAGTCATGTTACCAATACAGTACCCTGTGACGCCAGTCATGTTACCAACACGGTACCCTGTGACCCCAGTCATGTTACCAATACAGTACCCTGTGACCCCAGTCATGTTACCAACACGGTACCCTGTGACCCCAGTCATGTTACCAACACGGTACCTTGTGACCCCAGTCATGTTACCAATACAGTACCCTGTGACCCCAGTCATGTTACCAATACAGTACCCTGTGACCCCAGTCATGTTATTAACACGGTACCTTGTAACTCCAGTCATGTTACCAATACAGTACCCTGTGACCCCAGTCATGTTACCAATACAGTACCCTGTGACGCCAGTCATGTTACCAACACGGTACCCTGTGACCCAAGTCATGTTACCAACACGGTACCCTGTGACGCCAAGTCATGTTACCAACACGGTACCCTGTGACCCAAGTCATGTTATCAATACAGTACTGCGTGAGCTCAGGTGTTAAGCCCCAAAATATTTTCAAATGTTACATTTCTTGAATGAAGTTGGATTATGTTACTTTGGACGCGACAGAATGGCGATAACCGACTTGAATAATTGTATGCTAATTGAAATGTGCTTACACATGTGTAATAGCCAGTAGCCATCACGCCATGCACCCATTTGCTAATTATTGTGGTAAAATGTTTGACTCTCACGACTGAAATTATACACTCACTGGAGACAATGCAGTAACTCATAAGAAATAATAAAAATATATATATGTGTCTCTGTACTGATACTTGAACTCATTCTATTAACAACATAACCTATGCTGGGTTAAAAAGACCTTAAGTCCATTGTGCGATTCCAATTATATCATAAGCATATGTTTATGAATCACTGTCATTTATTGATAATACTACAGTAAACTACGGTTACAACGAACACAAAGGGACCACTATATATATATTATATTTATACCCCACCCCTTATACCCAAACCACGAGCTCAAAAAAATTCTATCAATTTGAATTCGTTTTAATTCTCTTGCAATGTCATATTAAGACATGTCGGTAAGATAAATTCGTTGTAGCAGGGGCTTTCTAATATTCGCAAGGGTCACCCAAGCGCCGTCTTTGCAATAATTCAGATCTTGTACTTTTTTTTCGTGTGGGCAACGAGTGAACTTCGTATAACATTATTCCACTCATATTACAGCAAGGGACACAGGTACTGGGCATAAGGCATACTACCCATTGGGGGAAAAGAACTCGGGAACTTCGTGTGACGAGAGAACTCTCTTCCAACTAATCTACCCCAAGGCGCCGTGATTGTCTTGATAGCAGTTGGAAGTCATATGGTCAATAGATAGTTCACCGTCAACAACCCTGAGATGCCAATATCCTCTGTTATGTGTTTGTTAAACAGTATGGCCAGTCGATATTCGGTTTTAAGCGTCTATGTTTCATAAACTGACTACATTAGTGGTCTAAAACGTTCCTGTTTATCCAGCTAATGATCTGAATGCAATGGAAACTAAACAAACATGGCAGGATGTAGTGGGATTGTCTATACTCTGCCATATCTGTAAATCAAAGCTTAAAGAAAACCTTCCTGTAGAATTACAAAAGCAATTTCTCCTATTTTGGGATTTTGAAAGTGATTATTGAGTATCTTTGAAAGGCCAAGTTTATTAAGATCCAAACGGAAGTATGATTTTAATCTACAGCATAACAGTTCAAAGAAGTCACTTGTTGTTATAAGAAGGATCTATTTACTTCGCACAAAATGTCTTCTATATTGCATTGATTTGAAGATACAAAACACACACTGCAATGCTATCTTAGACATAATGTCAACAGTGTTATGTTTATAGGGTTACACGTTCTAAACGCTTTCGTCTAAATGTCAGTCAAAGCTTTACAGAGTAGATACCTAAGGGTGAGGCGTATTATGAAGACACAATAGAAAGTCGCTGTGGATTACACCGTTTTTACAAATACGAATAGGTTTTACAGATGTGGGGAATCGAACCCGGACCACCAGGCGTGACGAGTCAACGCTTAAATCATTAGACCAAAGTTGACTCAAGACAAGATACAAATGTTTAGACTGACCATACATACTGGTAAATCAGAGCTAATCGAGAAGATAGTGGAGAGAAAGCTTGGATTTATGGCAAAACACGTAGCT